GGGGAGAATGTGCAAACTCCGCACAGTCGCCAGAGGGTAGAATCGAACCTGGGCTCCTGGTCTGTGAGGCAGCAGTGCTAACCACTGAGCCACCGTGCTGTCCGGACTCAAGAAAGGTCATAGATCTCAAACTTGGATCGGTTTTTCTCTTTCTACAGATGCTGTCTACCCTGAGCTGTATCCAGCACTTTCCATATGTACCAACTAATTTACCTGAAAGTTTCCCATAAACTTATGCTATAATTTATAAAAAGTTGATAATCATTGACATTTTGAAATACCACTTTCTTTTCTCTTGAGTTGAGCCTTTAAGTGTAACTGTGTTACAAATTAGAGGGAAAACAGCACTAGATGTCATTTGAGCAATTTGAGTTGGAATCAAGGCAGATCATTAATAGTAAATTCAGATGCAGATACTGTTGAAGTTTGTGCAATAGTAAAGGACAAAACAAGCAGATCTTTTGAGCTCCTATTAAATATTTGCTCAAGTTTTCTTTAAGATCAACTAAGGTGTGTGTTTTTGCCACACCATGTAAGTTTTAACGCTATACAGAACTTCCATGTTTGACATAACATAACAACCCAGAAAAATAATTGAAGCTCCTCCTTCCACATACTTACTCCTAACTAGAACATCACTGACTTGACAAAATTCTAGTTCTAAGAGGTTTAAAAAAACTTGAACTCTTGTGAAATCTGAAAAAGCAAGGGACTAAAAGAGTCAAAACAGCAGGAAAATCAACCAATATGTAGCCATGAGTTTAGAAGCATATTACCAAGCAGCACACCACCCGAGTTTGACAGCTGATAAGGTGGTGCATTGAAATTTATTGTTACAAGAAGGGCTGCCTTTCATAGCACTCAAGGCCTGGGAGAGAAATTGTGGGATCTGGTGCTTCCTCAGTATTCAGGCCCATTTAACCATGTCCTTTCTTCCCAACATTCTTCTGCAAATCACCTTTGTGATGATCTATTTAATAGGTTAAAACAGCACAGAAGGGAGCCATTCAGCTTTACAAGTCTATGCCAATTCTTTCGGAATGAAATCCAGTTCTCCCAAGAACCTCCGTCCCCTTCCTCATTCTTTCCTTCAAGTACTTATCCAATTGTCTTTTGAATCTTAATTTATCTGTATCCATAACCACCACAATATCAGGGACAGGTGAACCGAAAATCCTAACCACTCTGCGTAAATGTTTTTTCTTGTGTTACTTCTAGTTCCTTTGATAATCAAATGAAATTAAATTTAGGCCATTTGATTATAGATCCTTCACTGATTTGAAACAGATTGTTTATTCTCGAACTTTATAATTTTACTCATCTGTATCAATCCCCTCAGGTTTCTTGGTTCTATGGAGAAACCGCCAGTTTCATGGTGCTGTTCTAGCAAACAACATCGAGTATGTGACAGCAAAGTCCTACAGATATGGAAAATCAATAATAAAACTAGGAAGTGCTGGAAACATTTAACAGGCCAGGGAGCATGCTTCAGGTCCACAAACTACATTAGCTCTTATAAAGAAGGGTCACTGATCTCTGTTCACCTACAGATATGCTAAGCATTTCCAACTCACCCCATTTCTACTGGAGTGAAAATAACACCCTTTGCCAAACTTGCAGAAAGCAGTCAGATTTTTTGTGAACCTCTCATTTCCCAGAAAAGCAGTGGCCTCAGATCTGGTTTAGTAGTTGGTAAAACATTAAATATGAATTTCAACAAAAAGAAATGAAGAAAACAAATTGCCGAGTAAAAGTGCCAAAACAGAAAATTATGAAAAATGAGTAATAAGAATTATTAAAGTGCTAAGCAGAAGAGCTAACGAGTAAAACTAATTTTGTTGTTTCACTTAAGTAGACCTTACAGACCAGGTCCCAAGTCCTGGCCACTCATTAGGGAAGACGGAAGAGGACTGGGTCAAGCTGACGAGTTGGGTATAAATAACACCAATAATGCATTTACCTCTTTGGTGGGGCACTCTGAGCTGGTCTCAGCAGAATTGATAAGGAAGTGAGATTCTGAAGCTGGTTTGCTTTCAACCTGGGTTTTCTTTCTGTCTCGGATGTAAAAAATAACTAGGACCAGAACCAGTCTGGGACCTGACTTTATCCAAGGCACTGGTAGCTTGGAAAATGTTCTACTTAAACTGCAACACTGAACAAGAAGTTGCAAGAAGAATTTCGCTGATCTTTCGACCCTCTCCTATGGTTTTCTCAGGAACCTGAAGTTTTTTTATTTACCAACCAGAATCAGGATATCTTTTTCTCTTTCTCCAGTACTCTGATAATACTATACATGCATTAACTGTCAGTATTTTACATTGTTATATTACGCATTATTGATTATCATGAAAATCTTCCACTTAACTTGGAAATGACGAAATTATTTCCAATTTCTTCTCATTTCACCCCATTTGGAAATTCAAGTAATTTTTTTCCCCCCCTTTCAGCAGTTTCAAAAAGATAATTATTTTCAATTTTGCACCTTCAACAATTCGGACCAAGAAAGGGGTTTTGTGGTTTCCCGGTGTTAGGGCAGTAGGGTGGGGTGGGCGTTGCTCACTGTGACCTACTAACATACAAGGATGGAGGTGGCTACGCAATTTTTATACTCCACTTCATCTGCATTATCATGGTGTTGGTCCAAGGCAGCTGCCAAGTTATATCCTCTTCATCAAAACTGTTTGTGGTCTGTGGGGGGAGGGTTGGAGTTGGCAAAGAACTAGGAAAAGGGGGGTTTCATTTACACCATTAAATCTGTTGATAAATCTCATTAGATGGGGCAAATTAGGAGGCTGCATCTAGAAGCTTACCATCAAACTGCACATCATACCGGCAGGGCACTGCTCAAACATTGTATGACATCCCTTATAGGCTTGCCTCCACTTACAAATTTATGTGAAAGGAAATAACCATTTGGGAACTCCATCAATGGTATTGCTGAGTTTTCACGTCAGCAAAAGGAAAACAATACACTTAATGAATAAAAAATTATTCCAACATTACAAGTTAACTTTGGAGACTAAAGAAATCTAGCAACCCTGGACATTTGTTTCACAGGAGGGGATTACCACTTGATGCCCTCAATGCCCGTACAGCAGGAAACAGCAAGTCACACAAAGTCACTACTCCACCCACCCCTCCCTCACCACAAAACACCACAGATTAATACTATATTAAAACAAAGTAATGTTTATCAATCACTGAAAATTACATCAGAATGCAAAAAAAAGTGTTCCAATTCAATGGCTGCTAGTTACCACCTAATAAATTGAGTGCTCAATGACATAAACACAGGCTTTACTTTCCACGTGAGATACATCACAGAAATAGGTCCAAACTAGAGGACAGTTGGCAAATTTGGGACACAGCAGTGAAAATATTTTCACTTCAGACTAGAAAAATTAAAGTTTTCATTTGCATGACATCTTTTCCCCTATCCAAGTCAGCTGTAAATATCCCCCCAAACACGAAGCAATCTCATTAAGGATACTATCGCAAACCTGCAAGTCAGTAGCATGATCAATATATTTCAAAAGTTACAAGCTAACATGCAACATCTCTGTTCATTGCTTGTTTGCACTTGTTTTAAAAATGAAAAGAAAATGACTATACAAAAAAAGAATAGACTAAGCAATAGATAATGCTCACCCAGAACAGCATCGTTTACCAGCATAACACTTTATATTCCCAGGGAATGGGATTAATTGATGCAAGCTAGCACATGCATGGACACAACAACTTAACTGACTGCCCCTGTTCAAAATATGAAATTCTTAAAATTTGAGGCTAAATCTCAAAAGCAAATGACAAGTTTTAAAATGCTGTTTTGCAATTAACTTTTAGAAATCTGAATTAATTCCTGTCCGAAAAGAAAAAAGATCAGCTAATCTATCTGATAACCATATTTGAGGTTTATTTGTTTTATTAAAACTGCTTGTTTTAACACTACTTCCATTCATAAATCTGAATGAAACAAAGAACTGCTGATGCTGACGATCAAACGAAAACAGAAATTGTTGGAGAAACTCAGGTCGTCTGGCAGAAATAGGGTCGCTGGACTTGAAACGTTAACTTTGCTTTCTCTCCACAGATACTGCCAGACCTGCTGAGTTTCTACAACAATTTCTGTTTTCATTTAATAAGCCTGAGTACTTGTTTGAAACATACTTACCAGTAGCAATGTTTTGTGCATGCCATTTTTCTGAAATTCAAATTCACTGGTAATTGTGTTCTGAGATACCACGGTTAGGAAACAAAAAAAGAAAATCCCCATGGGTACTCAAATTAACTGCAAGTACTTTAAAGGTTCATGGTTGGTTAGACAAAAGCTCCCTTACCACCTACTTTATGTTAAGACTTCAAAGTAAAACAAAGTACATCCTCAAGCAGAGCAAGATGAACTTCATAATTTGCAGAATTACCACTGTGTAACGCAGTTGAGAGTCAAACAAACATTTTATGAAAAAGCTGTATATTCTGGAATCTGTGTTTATATTGTTCAAATGCAATATGATCATCTTTCGTTCCATCAATGTTGATATTTCAGGTCCTTAAGGTGAAATACGTTGTCAACCAGCACAATACGTGGTCCACTGTATATTACTTTCAATTTGATCCATAATTATGTAATAATTTATACAATTTTATTGCTATTTTTCCTGCAACAGGAACTATAGAGAACAACAGGATAAGTTATTAAAATTAAGAAAAGCGCAGAGAGAACAGTGTAAAAGCAATTGCTGGACAAAACAAAAATGGGGGCATTACTTACATTTTCTAATACTTTAGTACTTTTTAATTAAGAGGAGAGTCTGAATTTGCTGCATATATGCACATACGGACATGGAAGTAGAGACTTCTATTCAAAGAAAGAAAGGTTAAGAAAGATAAAATAAAAGCTTCAGAAAAAGGCAGGGAAATTATTTTGTAGGGGATCGCTCCAAGTAACGTTGTTATTACCAGCCCAGGGTTAATTTCCAACATTTTGTTGAATGTCTTACCTCTTTTCTTCCCTTGCTCGCTGCTGTTCTTCTTGTCGCAAAGTCTGAATCATTATGGATTCTGTAACACCTGTTGACATGCCTCCTAAACTGCGGGGGATAGAACGTCGACGAGTAGAAGTGCACAGGGCTCCTCGCTCCTCTTCTAAACCATAACGACCTTTCGATGTTACCGCAATGGTTGTCTTCTCTCTTAGTGGCCTTGTATACAAAAGAAACTGCAATCAATGATGCAGAAATAACAGCATAAAGTTGACTTAAGGAGTTAATAATGGAGAAAGTCATCCTATTAGGCTTACGTATAGATTGGGCCATAGAAACTACTTGTTTCAAACCTTAAAATTTTGCAAGGAATTTGTTCCTATGAGACTGCCCATGGCAACAAATCAAGAGCTATTTATTGATGCACAATAAATAGACACATATATGCATATCCAGCGACAATATTCAAGAAAAGAGAAAGACATTGATGAAAAGTAGATGACTTTTGACAAGATAGATTTTTGGCAGAGTATGTCGATATACTGTGCCTATTCTTAAAAGGAAGTTGGAGGCCTTGTTTGGAAAAATGAGGAATATATATTCAAAGACAGAATATATTATTGCAATTGTAGGAATATAAAGAATGTTGCTCAAATTAAGGCAAGAGTAAATAATAGAAAAAAAAACACACTGAAATTGACATTTTGTTTTGCACTAGATCTTTTTCTAATTCCCCAATTTTATTGCGCTTGTATTTAAAAATGAAAAGCTCCAGTGAAATGCTACTTATAGGAACAGGAACTTGGGCACCAAGCAACCATGCTGGATCATTTATGGATTTTTACTGAAAGGATCAGCCTCAGAAATTTTGACAGCCTTCCTCTATCCAATCCTAGTAAATGCTCAGTTTGGTGCCCAGCCAGTAAACTAAAGATTAAGAGATTTCAATCCATGAAAAACAAATAAATAATAAAACTAGGATATCATCTTCCAGGCTTTAGCCGAGGATCTCTACTTGCATCTGCAAGAAATAAAATGGAAGCAAGGTTTCAGACTATGGCAGAAGCAGCTGTACAAGAGCAGGGCTAATCCACCACTGTAATTCTGATAGAGGAAGTACTTTTATTTTCTTTAAGACACTTTGCATTCTGCATTTCCACTGATTCATTATGTCAATAATTTGACTGAAGCTGTGAACCACTGCTGCACATTACAAAAGTGGTTCTACATGTCTGTCATTGAAGGAAAAATTTAAAATATCAACACTTTTCAGCTTGTATAAATTGAAGCTTTAGAACAGCACATATTGAATTTGAAGTTTTTGTTTCAATTGTTTGATATTCAGTTTCCAAGACTGAGTTAAATAGCTCATAAAAGGGAAAGAAATTTTTGATGAGCCTACCCAAGGTAATCCTACTTCACAACAATTTAAAGGTCATCAGAAATAGATGAGAACTAGACTTTGGCCTCAATCAAAGAAGCCACATATTGAATGGCAGAACAAGCTCTGGGCTAAAAGGCATACTTCTGCTGCTAATTAACTTACCAAATCAGGCATAGTTAGGAAATGGAATGCTATAGGCTAACCCACCACAATAACACCGCAAAGCTACAGAGCAATGAACAGAAAGTACTTGTGTATCATGTTTTTATAAATAGATTGAAATCAACTTCAAATCATGGTACCAGGAGTTATTGCTCAAAAAGTATTTTGGAAAGTGTATAAGTACCAAGGTTCTATAGATCAGCAGGCTGGGTTCATGTACTAGGGCTTATCACAAAGCTGATGTGGATTTCATTACATTGGGACAACAAAACGAACTTGCATTTTGAAATAAATTTCTACATGAAGACTGTAGTTAATGATGCATACAACACATACAATAGATTATAATAGAGCATTCAAATCAAATGGTAATACTTATGGAAAATGGACTTGTTCTTTCAGCTACCAAATTTGACTATCTCGTACTTTTCCGACAGTGCAAGCATTGGCAAGAGATAAAAAATTTTTCAAAATGCTCCCTCGAGACATCTTCATCGGGCTGCTTAAAACAAGAGCCTGGCACATGGCTCTGTTCTGTTTTGGTTCCACTAACAGAATTGGTAAATATTGAATAAATGTCTTTTGGAAAATAGGCTCATACTTGAACAGGAAGAAATGTAAGACACTGAATATTTCTTAATTACACACCACAGGAATAGTACAGCATATTTAAAAAAAAATAATTTCTCAACAAAACCCATCCAGTTATCCAGATTTATTTAAACAACATTCCTATTGCTTCTGTTCAAATTCTTTCATATCATCTTTAGATTACAGCAGATGACCATTCACATTGAAAATGTGCAATTGTGATGTTCAATATTCTTTCCTGTCCAGATCTTGCCTCCACCCTTATATGTCCTGAGCTTCTCACCAAACCACAACTCTCAGGATACCAGAAGCCAAACTGGAGCACGATCCTACCTTGGTTGTGGTGAAGGGAAATGCTACTTAAAGTCTGATCTATTTCTCAAGTTACATTGACTTGCTGTTGTGTCATGCCAATGTAACAACAGCTAACAGACAACTGCAGAGACAGTGAAATTTGAGAGGCTAAGTCCAGCAATCCAGAAGCAGTAACTTTAAATTTCTGCAAAGTTCAAAAAAAAAATCAGTAAATTGTACCAAATGTCCAGAAAAAAATACTGTTACTTTCCAAATCAAGCTAAACCGTCCTTTCGCATTGCCTTTGGGTACAATTTTCCACAAGTTCCCATACTTGCAGCTACATAATGTTGCACTTATGGGACAAATCCTACATCATTAACAACTATACTCAGACAAACCACTTAATAGCCTGCGTAACAGAATTCAAGGATTTATCGGGGCAACAAATAACCTTGCAAAAACATTAGCAGTGGGGATAAAGTATTTAAACCAAATCTATGGTAAAAGCTTGCTACGAGTACACCTAAACTATAGTTTCAAATTCCATTCCGCTAATACTTGGGAATTTTTTCTGTGTTGACAAAGAGAAACGTAACTGCAAGGACAAAGAATGGAATACATATTTAACAACTATCACCAGTGTAATAAATTCATAGTTCAGATCTAATACGGAGGATCTAGAGAGTGAAGTTCCCTTTGCACTGCCAAGTGATGCAACTCAGGACTATCTCAGAAGAGTGTCACACTTCACTACGGTATTCTAAATACTTGTTTCTTATTCTTGTGACCTCCATGACTAACATTTGTTAGCACCACCCACTGGTGCTGTGGATTTGTGCCAATTAGGATTGGGTCGAGCTGGTCACACACATTTTGCTTTGCCTTTTCCTGTGCCAAAGGAAAACAAATGCCGCATTATAACTTTTTAACTCAAATTAATAAGTAATCCTAATTTCAAAGTGAAGAAACCCAAAAGTATGAGGGATTAGGGAAGTTTGATAGACTTGTGGAGGGAAATTTCAATTATTGCATAAGCAACGGACTTTTAGATAATTAGGACAAATCAATCTCAGTATGGGTTTCATCAATGATATCATGCACTGAGTGGACTAACTGAAAACTCTCAAAGACTCAGGGCTATTTAGGTTAAAATAACTAGCTTGGTGCTATTGTGGTTTTTGATTTTGTTGGACTAAATCAGAGCTACAAAGAGTATTTTACAATCAACATGAGACAAAGGTTCAAACTTCATAGGTGGCCCAAATCTCCATGGTATACACCAATGTAGTAAAGATTAAAATACCTTAAAACTCCAAGTCTCATTAAGGATGCTAAGGCTTTGGAGAGAGCACAAATTAGCAGAATGATATCAGGGATAAAAGAATTCAGTTACATGGAAGACTAGAGATGTTTCAATATTCCTGTTATCGCACAAGATGTTTCAGAAAACTTGCACTTTATATGGTGCCTTTCACAATCCAGAACTTTATGAAGTGCTTCATAGACAATGAAGTACTTTCTCAAGTGTCACTGTTGTACTAACTTTCAAAAGGGATATAAAGTATGAATATGCACTTGATAAGGAAAAAATGTCCAGGGATAATGGTGAAAGGTTAGGAATGCAGATCTAATAGTACAACACTTTCGGAGTTGTGGTACGGGTACAGTAGGTCAAACAGTCATCATCTATTACGATTCTGTGATTGAAAATATATTTTTTCAAGATATGCCCAAACCAGTCAAGGACCATGTGTCTGCTGACATGCAACAGCATTCCCACATTAAAAGATAACCCGCACAAGGATTCTACGACAGGAACACAACCCACCTACAATCCAACACAACACCACCCTTGCAGCAATTGGAGGGATGTGACAGGACTGGATTCAGAGATCCAGAAGTCCCTAGCCTGGCATGAGCATATCAGTGGTGGTGTTTCGCTCTTGGAATAGAAACAGGAGACCATTTTGGCAGCTTTTCTCATGGCTGAGCAGTCCTCTTCAGGATCCACTCTGCACACCCTACATGAAGAGGCTAAAAAGGATGCCCTGAAAACAGCCTGCTCCAACATCAACCTGGCTGGAAATCTGCATCCATCAGGTTCATCCACCTGAATAACAAAGTCAAAGTCAAAGTCAATCTTAAAACCTGGAATGTAGGAATCCTCATGGATAATGAGCAAAACAATCATCTGGAATGAAGAACTGCCCTTGTTGCCTGTGAAATCAGGCATTTCAGCACTTGATATCACTGACCCACAAGATTCAGAGCAGCTGGATGAAGGTGGCGGCAGTGGCTACACCTTCTTCCAAAATCCCGAGGATCAACCAAGGATGCATGGAATTATAGTCACGATCAAGAACAAACTCAACTGACTCTGGGAGCTCCCTGTTGGCATCAACAATTGCCTCAGGACTCTCCTTCTACAACTTTCCAAGAACTAGCAGGCAACAGTCATGAGCGCCTATGCACCAACCCTTAATGGCATAGATGATACCAAAAAAGGTTTCTATTCTACCCTGAACATTTATTCACCAACATCCCCAAGGAAGATAAAAATATCCTCCTTTGAGACTTCAATGACAGGGTTGGAAAGGACTCCCAACTCTGGAAAGAACTATCAGAATGTAAGGAGTCAGGAATTGCAACTTCAATGGGATCCCTCTCCTCACCAAACACACTGTTTTGCTAAAAAGACAAGTTCAATACTTCCTGGAGACATTCACGAGCAAAGCACTGGCACATGATCGACTATGTCATCATTTGATCCCTGGACCAAAAGGAT